AATTGAGCTCCCATTTGACCCAGCAATACCACTCCTGGGAATATATCCCAGAGAGGCAAAAATGTATAGTCGAAGTGACATCTGCACTTGTTTGTTCATTGCAGCACTCTTTACAGTAGCCAGAAACTGGAAGAAACCTGAATGCCCAAGAACAGATGACTGGTTAAAGAAACTTTGGTACATCTACACAATGGAGTACTATGTAGCTGTTAGAAAAGATGAAGTCATGAAATTTACATACAAGTGGTACAATATGGAAAGTATCATGCTAAGCGAAATGAGTCAGAAAGAGAGGGATAGACATAGAAAGATTGCATTCATCTGGGGGATATAAAGTAACAAAGTATGAGATTAATACCCAAGAATAGCTGAGATCAGCACCAGGAGGATTACTCCATAACTTAGAGGCCAGTCGGGTATCCTAGAGGAAAGGGCAGTTCAGATAGAGAAGGGAGCACCAAATAAAGGATGTTTGGAGGATCTTCCCAGGAGGGGAGATGCATGTCGAAAGTAGACTATGGACTGAACATGTTTGCCACTCAATGCCTCTTTTGCAGACCACAACACCCAAACGGAGAGAGAGAACACAGGGGATTGCCCTGCCACAGAGGCAGGGGGGGAAGGGGGGATGGGGGTGGGAGGGATATTATTCTTGGTGGTGAAAAACGGGCACTGGTGGAGGGATGGGTATCTGATCATTGTATAATTGAAACCCAAGCACAAAAAAAATTGTAAATCTACAACTGTAAAAAAATAAATAAATAAAAATTAAAAAAAAAAACTACTATATGAGGGCGACAGTGATAGCACAGTGGGCTTTAGGATGTTTGCCTTTAACATGGCCAACCCGGGTTCTATTCCCTGCATCCCATATGGTCCCCTGAGCACTGCCAGGGGTAATTTCTGAGTGCAGAGCCAGGAGTGACCCCTGTGCATCCCTGGGTATGGCCCCAAAAAGAAAAAAAACACTATTATATGAAGTTCTTTGTAGATATCTCTATGCCCCTATGCATTTGAAGGAAAAGGGCTTCAATTTTCGTGTTCAGAGCGTTCAGAGAAACCTGTGCTCCTGCCCAAAAAAATCAGAAATAGTCCCTATGGCACAGTGAAGTGATGAACTGAGAAACTTGTAGTAATATCTATGAAACCTTCACATTTCATCCTGATATATATTTCTACAATGAAAGATTAACATCCAGATACTGTCCCTTTGACCCAGAGAGTTCAAACTACTCGTGTGGGCACTAAACCATTTCATTTCTACTTGATAAATGTGAAACTTCAAAAGTACCAAGAAGAGGAACCAAAGAGATAGTCCACTGTCCAGGGGCTGGTCCTAGCCCTCTCCTCAGGAGAGACCCCCTGAAGGTCCTCGGGACCACATGCAGTGCCAGATAGATTCAGAATCAACATGCACCCTAATCTTCATACTTTCTCTCCAGCACTCCAGCACTGTTCTGCATGTTTTATTTTGTTTTGTTTTGTTTTGTTTTATTCCTGCTTCTGCACTCAGGAGTCACTCCTGGCTGGGGGTGAGGTGCTGGGGGGTGGGGGGGGGGGGGGAACGAGCTCTACATTTTTTAACAATCGACTTTTTTAAGGTCTTTCCTGTGTTTATTTATTTATTTTAATTTTATTTAACTTTATTTCTTGTCTTTATTAATTTATTCCTAAGTATTTCATTTTTAATGCAATTGTAAATGGGATTATTTTCTTAAATACCTTATTTTTCTCACTAGCTGAATACAACTAGATGCCACCAAGTTTTGCATGTTGATTTTGTAAACTGTCACTTTCCTGTGCTCTTTAGTGTTTTGTTCTAATAAACCTTTAATGGAATATTTGGGGTTTTCTATTACCATGGAATCTGTAAATAATGAAAATTTTACTTATTTTCCGATCTGAATTCTTATTTCCTGTTCTTGCTTAATTACTCTAGCTAAGACTTCAGATACTAAGTTAAGAAAAGTCTGAGGAATCCTGTATAGTATCAACTTCTGTCTTACTACTACTCTTATTGCATCCCATATATCTCACAACATATCTTCATTTTGGCTCAGGTATTTTTTAAAGTCAACTTTGACTTCCCCCTGACACAATGGTTATTGAAAAGCATAATATTTAGTCTCCACCTTGAGATGGTTTTTCCAATTTTCTTTTTGTGGTAGTTTTATGATTTGGTAGCATTATGGTAAATAAACATACTTGTTATTATTTCGATCAAACAAACAAAACACTATCCTCCCGTTGTTCATCGATTTGCTCGAGCGGGCCCAGTAACATCTCCATTGTGAGACTTGTTGTTACTGTGTTTGGCATTTTGAATACTCTCAGTAGCTTGCCAGGCTCTCCAAGAGGGGCAGAGGAATCGAACCCGGCTAGGCTGGGCTGGCTGCGCGCAAGGCAAAAAGCAAACACCCTACCGCTGTGCTATAATTTTATTGGCATTTTCTTTAGGTCTTACCATAATATGGATCCTTCAGACTATTCAATATGCACTTGAGAAAAATGTAAATTCTAATGTTATTGGGTGAGATGTTCTGTGAATGTCTATCTTAAGCCCACAATACTATCGTATAGGTCTTTATCTATAATAACTGCTTTATGTAGTTTGATGCTTCATCTTATATATGTATATATATATATATATCTTCAAATATGTTGTTGCATTAAGTCCTTAACCATTACATAAACTCCACATTCCTGTTTCTTACTCCGTTTCTACCTGAAGTTCTGTTTACTCTTATGGGAATACTATTTTACATGCCCTTCGCTACCATTTATTTGTAAATTTGTCTCCCTGTCTTTCACATTGAATTTGTGTTTGTTTAGAAAGCAGGAAACTCTGTAGCAATAAAACATTACATTTACTTTTTTAACCATTCAGATACTCTCACCTTTTAGTTAGTTAATTCAGACTCTTAGTATGTATTAAATTATTTAAGTTTAAGTATTTATTGTCATTTAAGTTTCTTGTAAATTGTTCTGTTTTTATTCTTCTAATTTTTTTCTTTTGGGTCACACCCAACTGTGTTCAGTCAGGGCTTCAGCTTCGGGGCTCAGGGGTCACCCTGCTGATACTAGGAGAACCAGAGACTCTGCTTTTTTTTTCCTACTTATCTTCTTCTCTACTGCTGAAACATCTTTCTGTGTAAAATTTTCAATCTCCATTATAATACTTCTGAGGGTTTTCACTTTCAGGCTACTGTGAGATTTATAGGAAAGTTTCTACACTTATAACATATTGGGCAGACTGATCATGAACTCATTTCTAATAGTCCACATTTTTACTCTTCTCAAACACACACACACACACACACACACACACACACACATTACAGTGCATGTTTTTGGTAAGTTGCTACTTCTAAGTGAAATTCATTTTCATTTCTTTAGGAGTCCATGTAATGTATCTTACCAGGCTACTTTAGTGGTGATAAACTGTCTTAACTTCTGTTTGTATGTAAAGCCTTTAATATCTACCTCAATTCTGAATAATAATCAAGCAGTGGAGTATTCTCCATTGAAAAATCCAATCCTTTTTTTAATACTTTAACTATATTCTGCCATCCACACTTTCCTATAAGATTGCCAGTGAAAAGTGAAAAACCCAAGAATAATCTTATAAGGATACAAAGGATACATGTGGGTGTGATTTTGTTTTTTCTAAGTTCTAATATTCTATCTTTATCTTCTAGTTTTGTCACTAAATTGTGATATATCTTGGCATGTATCTGTCTAGATTTTTTTTATTTTCAGTAATCTTTGAGCCAATGTTTGAATATTTAATTCCTTACCCAAGTTAGAAAAGGTCTTGGCTTTTGTCTCTTCAAATCAAGTTTCTACCTTTATCTTTCATTAAGCTCTGATTTTTTTATATATATTTTTCAGTTCTTCAGGTATTTTTCACTGCTCAAAGTTTCAGGGTACTGATTCTGTCAGATGCTTCTTCTAATCTCCTGTTAGTCCACTCTACTATATACTTTTTAAATTTAAATCCTGTATTCTTTCAGTATTTTTTCTGTTTGAACCGTTTTTATATTTTCTCACTCCCAGCTGTTCTTGTTCTCCTTTTGTAAAGAAATAGTTCTTATTTCAATAGCTATTGTTAGGAAGAGTGCTGTGATCTTGACTTTAGGTCAGGTAGTGATTTCCATTTCATTGAAATTCTTCATCCTACCCCCCCCCCGAGCTCCCAGGTTTTTATTTTATTCCATCACTTATGGTATCTTCATTTTCCTTGAGAGTGTATGTTGCTGTCTTCATCACCTGCCTATTCATGCTGCTTGAAACTATATGTTAACTTCCATGCGTAACTACATAACTCTCTTTCCTTAACTTGGCGTTTGGGCCTTTGAGTAAGATGGTAGGTTGCAGGTATAACCTTCAATGGTTTACTGATGCCGCCATGCTGTGTGTCGCTGTGCACACTGAGTCCTTCTTACCTGCTTGGTGAATGGATTTCTAGACTCAGCACAGCCTGGTTGCATGCACTGCACTCACTAATGCAGTTCCCAGGCACTTGGGTCCACAACCCAGCATACACCTATCAATCCTCTCCCTGCAGGGAACTGCTTCTCCTGCTGTCCAGTCTGCATTCAGGGACAGCTGTCACATAAATGTGCAAAGAAATAGGAGTCCAGCCTCTTTATTCTTCCACCTTCCTGCCAGAACCTGTACGGTTTAGGTTTGTGTAATTACACTCTATGGAATCCACACAGTGCCAACATCACCTAACCACTTATTTGTCTGAATAATGATACCCGTCATTAAGGGATGTGTGATTGCAGAAGAAATAAAACACTGTCCTTCAAGATGCATTTAGCTGGAGGTCATGCTCTGCCCTCTTGCTTTGCACTGGTGAAAACACATTTCCAGGGGTCAGTATCTGCCAGACAAAATTTCCAAGCTTGAAGCCTGAGACTCTCTAAGTCCATGGCAAACATAGCTGAATTCACGTCATAGCATTAAGCATTAAACAATGTAGAAGATATCCTTACCCTCTCCAAGAGCAATTGCTGCAACTCTTTTTCACTAGAACACTCCTCTGGAATCTTTAGTCTGACCCAGAATGTTATGCTTGAAGATAATTCAGGTATTTCATCTTCATCTTCATCAATATAAGTATCTAAAGAAAGCAGAGGCATAAATCAAAAGATAAACCCATATATCAAACAGTAACTTTTATTTCAATCATTGCTATATTTTTAAATGAAAACAACAAGCACTTGTCAAAAGTACAGTCTATTTTTGATACAGTGATCAAGCCTAAGCAGAAAAGCTTTCTCCTCTCAATGATGCCAAATAAAAATAGAGTTAGCCTGCCTTATAACAAAACAATTGCTTTTCTTTGTTTCACTCCATAAAGAATCTCCGGTTCTACTGAACATAATACTAGAGGGAAAGTCAGCAGCGGGGTATGTGAAGAGCATTAATTTCTTTTTTTCAGTGAAACTGCACACACGTGTCAAGACAGGTGTAGGGATATGAAAAATGAGTGACAGGTAACAGGGAATGAGAATAGGAACTTCTCTGATTACCTGCAGTTCTGTGCTCCTGGTGAGGAAGTGACGGTCTCCATTAGAACAGAGGTGAGGATTGAAAATGAGCCTGGGTGAACCCAGCCCTTGAATTTCCCCGGGAAGCAAAGAAAGGGTGACATCACTGTTAGAGTATGATTCAGAGAGGAATGTTGACACACTCTGTTTGCAGAAAGGAAACAGCACAAATGCCAGGGCCACAGGGTACCTGGGACTTACCTTCTGTAGACAGTGAGTTCTGTGTGGCTTCGTGTGTTCTAATGACTGAGCTAATTGATGTTTAAGGAAGAAGATCTAAGGGAAATGTACACAAAGCCCGGAGCGAGAAGCTAGAAGTTGGGGTTAGGGTTTCATCATGCTTCTATGGCCTCGTGCCAGCCTCACACTGGGCTCACAGAATATAAAGACCACCTCTCTGGCCCTGAGAAAGGCGTGGGTGGGCAGAACCTGGTGTGTGGGTGCCCCTGAACTTTTCTATCAAATCCCATGTTCTAAAAATAACAATCAGCCTCTATCCCTGGATTTGGCAAAGGCCACTGTGACTCAGGGCTGGAGCGATAGCACAGCGGGTAGGGCGTTTGCCTTGCACGCAGCCAACCCAGATTTGATTCCCAGCATCCCATATGGTCCCCCAGCACCAGCAGGAGTGATTCCTGAGTGCAGAGCCAGGAGTAACCCCTGTGCATCATCGGTTGCAACCCAAAAAGAGAAAAAAAAAAGCCATTGTGCTCAATTAAGATTTCTGATAGAAGAGTGAAGAGCAAGAACCTTGGTCCTGCAGAGGTCTGGGAAGGTGCAGAATGGCGCACGGGGGACAGTGCAGTTCCGAGAGGCATTCTCAAGACCGCTTTTTGGTTTTGGCAGAGTTCTCAGCCCTCCCGGGTAAGAGTGGCTCACTGACCCGGGCTGTTTGTGCAAGTTACTTGGCTTATGCTAATCACCATTCCTTCTAGGACAGTAGAATTTTACAAGATTGTAGGCAGCAGTAGCCTCATGACAATCTGAGCAGAAGCCCTGGGGATTGAGCTTCTAATGAGCTTCCAGGGTAGACAACAGCTCACATTTATTGTCACGCTCATTTCTGGAGGTAAGAAGAGCATCTCAAAATAACAAACTCAGATCCCTTTCTAACTATGCACAAAAGTCAAATCAAAATGGATTATAGGCTTCGAAATCAGACCTGAGTCTATTAGTTACATTAAAGAAAATACAGGTAGAATGCTTCACAACATTGAAGTTAGAGGCATCTTTAAGCAGGCCAACGAAACAAGAACCAAGATGGATAAATGGGACTACATTAAATTAAGAAGCTTCTGTACCTCATGGGAAGTAGTTACCAAAATACAAAGGTACCACACAGACTGGGAGAAATTATTTACCCATCATTCAACTGATAAAGTGTTAACTTCTAAGCAATATAAGCACTTGTAGAACTTTACAAGAAAAATAAACTATCCAAAATAAAAATAAATAAGTCATCCAACCCCATCAATAAATGGGGAGAAAAGATGAACAGAAATTTCCTTAAAGAAGAAATACAAATGGCCAAAAGGCACATGAAAAAAAGCTCTACATGACTGAACATCAGGAAAATGCAAAGCAAAACAATATTGAGATAGCACCTCACACTAGAGACTGTCACTCATCAAAAAACAAGAACAACCAATGCTGGCATGGATGCAGTATGGGAAAAGGACTCTCATTCACTGCTGGTGGGAATATTAACTTGTCCAGCCTTTCTGGAAAACATTATGCACATTTCTTAAAAATAGGAATTGAACTTCCATTTGACCCAGCAATTCCATTTATTGGAATATACCCCAAGGGCCCAAAATCAAAATTCAGAAAACACATCAAACACATCTGCACTCCTATGGTCCTTGCAGCACGAGCCAAAATCTGGAAACAACCCAAGTGTCCAAGAATAGATGACTAGATAAGGAAATTATGATACATATATACAATGGAATATTACTCATAGAAGAAGAGATAAAATCATGCAATTTGCAGCTACATGGAATGATCTGGAGATTGTCATGCTAAGTGAAGTTGGTCAAAGGGAGAGAGACTGACACAGAATGATCTCTTTTTATACGGGATAGAAAGAAACTTAAAGTAAAGTAAAAAGTAAAGGCCCTCCCGTTGATCATCGATGAATCTCAGGGTGTCATTAACGATCCCAAACACATGAAATTGTCCCTGGATCTATATTATTATAGACTCTGGTTCTATACTATTACATCATCTTGTCTGAAGTCAGGCACTCAGAGCAAAAAGACTTGCAGTGAGTAGAAAGTTATAGTAAAGAAATAACTATTCTTTAATCCAAAGTTTTTCCCCATTTTACATTATGCTTGAGTAGGAAATTTGTATCCAATATTTGGTCTGTTACTATCACTGTTTATTTTTCTTGATTCCTTTGTTGTTAGCATAGCAGAATTCATAACTATATATTTGAAATACTTTAAAGGATGATCTTCTTTTTTTTTTTTTTTTTTTTTTTTGCTTTTTGGGTCACACCCGGCGATGCACAGGAGTTACTCCTGGTTCATGCACTCAGGAATTACTCCTGGCGGTGCTCCAGGGACCATATGGGATGCTGGGAATTGAACTCGGGTCGGCCATGTGCAAGGCAAACGCCCTACCCACTGTGCTATTGCTGCAGCCCACCAATCTTCTTAAGTACAGATTTTACTGTTTTCCATGTTCAACATGTGCCAGTCCTGATTAGTGTACACCCTTAGCTTTACACACACCATAAGCATTTCCATAATAGATATCAATATCTTGGGAAAGAACAGGGGATGGCAGAGAATAGATCAGGAGTTACATAACTGCTGAAAATCCAGGACAATAAGAAAAGATGCAAAACTTGAAATCAGTTCTCACTAAACAGTCTAATAGCATATACTTGTAGCAACTAAGCAATCAATCTGCTAAAACAGTCGTGCATGTTAAAACAGTGACACCAAAGCTAGAGGAGTAGCACAAGAGGTTAAGATACCTGTCTTCCATATGGCTCCCTGTCACCACTCTGGTTCAAAAACCCTGCACCACATATGGTGCCCTGAACACCACCAATGGTCACTCCTAGTCTAAGAGCCAGGCAGAACCCTAAGCACAGTCAGGTGTGTTCCCCAAAAATAAAACAAAAATACAGCAACAACAATAGGGCTCCCCAAGTCAGAAGATCTTTTATACCTCTAACAAGACTTCACCTGAGTAGCACATTCCAAATATAGACAATGAGTTTACAAAAAATCACAAAATATCCAAAGTAATTGGAGGTGAGCAAAAACATCGCTTCGACAAAACTATAAGAAATGAGGGTGAAAAGGTGGCCTTAAATGCCAGGTGCCTTCAGGAAATTATTAAGAGTCTCCAAGGAAGGAAGGTAAAGTCACCGTGATTCTGATGGATGGGGTGAAGTAGAACCATAGGAGATGGAAGGAAGGAAGGACTTGGCATAGCACTGAGGTGATAGTTGAAACAGGAGAAAAGGAATAAGTAATAGCAAGCTATGGGATGCAGAATTGATATCAAAGATATCCAGAATAACTTTGTATTTTTTTCTCCATCTGACTTGAGCATCTTAGTTAAATTTCTGACACTGTTTTTTAAAAAGAAAAATCAATACATACATAGGGGTGATACATGGAGAATAGCAAGTAGATAGTAAACCATGATGTCACTGTCAAAGAATCACTGAAGGGAAAATGAGTCATTGCCTAGATAGGAGATTTTAAAAAGGAAAATTAAAAACTGGTTGTAAGATATCAAGCCTCGGTAACAAGAATAATGTTATTGCAATAAGTATGATGGGCTGGAGCGATAGCACAGCGGGTAGAGTATTTGCCTTGCACGTGGCCAACCTGGGTTTGATTCTTCCATCCCTCTTGGAGAGCCCAGCAAGCTCTCGAGAGTATCCCGCCTGGCAGAGCCTGGCAGCTCCCCGTAATGTATTTGAAATGCCAAAAACAGTAACAACAAGTCTCAAAATGGAGACTTTACTGGTGCCCGCTGGAGCAAATCAATGAGCAACGGAAAACAGTGCTACAATAAGCATGATGTATAAACATTCTAATAAGGACTGTAAAAACCAAATCATGGAATCCTCAAATACCCTAAAGCCAAATGAGCATATTTCCTTTAAAATAAAGACTTGGAGACTTGGAGAAATATTTATACGTTTAGGTTAATTGATTTAGCAAGTAGCAAAGTTAAGCTACATTCATAGACTCAGGTATTTTTTTAAAAATCACTTATGTGGAGGAAAAAGAAACTTTCATTCACTGCAGGAAGGAATGTTGACTGGACCAATCTTGTTACAAAACAATATGGACACTTTTCCAAAAACTAGGTGTTGACTCAAGAATAGTAGAGATAAGTACCAGGAGGATTACTCCATAGCTTAGAAGCCGGCCTCATCCTGGGGGAAAAGGCAGCTCAGATAGAGAAGGGACCAAGTAAAGGGTGCCAGGAGGGCACACGCAGGATGGGTGATGCGGGCTGAAAGGAGACTAGATCAACATGATGGCCACCTAATTCCGCTATTGCAAACCACAACACCCCAAAAAAGAGAGAGAGC